AAAAGAAGGCAGTTATGCATGCATATTAAGGATTCATCATATTATAAGGTATGAAAATGAATACAAATTAATTTTGCTTATTGTAAGCTTCGCCAAACTCACGGAACTAGTCAAATTGATAATTTTACCAATGTCATTGCAAAGGAAACATAAAATGGAGTCCAATGAAATATTGCTTCAAACAAGGGATTTTTGTGCAAACGTTATATATCTTTTACAGTAATTATAATCGTTTAATATCCTATATTTGAGTTTCTGTTTAATGCTTTATACTCAGTACATCATATACTCAATACATCAACGCACAGTGATATCCCGAATCCTTCTAAGAACTGGGTCAGAGGCACAATCGAATAATAATTACTAGGTGACCCCTGCCATACCATTTTATTATGAAGGGTCTTTCCATCGCCAGAAAGGCAAGTGGCGGTTCGCCTTATGTATTGCTTTTCTATAATGGCATTGTCTCTTGCAATATCATGTTTCGTGGCAGCGTTATTACATAGACTAGTCTGATCTTGAAAAAGATTTCCTTGATATAGTATTAGCACTTTACCAAATTTTGTCTTTTGCCTTTCAAGATTATTACAATTGAATATTTTTACATTTATTTTCAGATTTTATTTATCTGTACTTGTCCGACACATACATTTCAATTTCAAAATTCTTGACACTCATTTTTATGTACTGTTGTTTAGGAACTGTTTTGAGGGTCACTAACAATTCAACAATACATCACATTTAATTCAGATAAGGGGACGACAAGCCCCTTAAACGAAATTCTTAATTCCGGAACATATACATATAACATGAACGGAAAATATTTCCAGGTAAAGACATTCTGGCATTTGCGCAAAATTTCAAGTCAAACTACTGAAAATTGTAACGTTTACTATAGATAGACACGTACTAAACTATAAATGAGCCGCGTCATGAAAAAAATAACATAAAGGAATTGCGACAAGCATGAATCCAGACCAGCCTGCGAATCCGCGCAGTCTGATCAGGATCCATGCTGTTCACTGTCAGTTTCTCCACTTGTTATAGGGTTATGGATCCTGATCAGACTGCGCGGATGGCAGGCTGGTCTGGACCCATGCTGGTCGCAAACGCATTATGTTGGTTTTGCCATGGCGCGGCTCAAGATATTCTAAGCCGTTTAGCACATTCGCTGATGTGGTCACTATACATTTTTTTTGGACATTTCATTTTGTACTCGTATAATATGGTTTTATCATTTCATCTTTCTTTTTAAGGGTAACCGTTTGTCAAGATAACTCAACTTAATATCCATTCAATTTCAGTCGCAAACTAATCAGCTACAAATTATCAGTGGGGGTAATTTTCAAAGTACTAAACACAACCAATTAAGACATTTGATATCAGAAACTTTAACTGGGTAATTTTAAAATCGAAATTTTATACCGTATATTCTATGATGCTACCGTGGATATTTAGGATAAGTATTTCATTAAATAACTCAAGTTTATGGGAATTAATTCACAACACAAGACGGTCTTGAAAGCATATAAAAACATATTTAATGTGTATGCTTATCTTCTTTTCTATTTTTCTGCTTTCAATTCTTGAAAATAATTTTGTAAAAAAAAGACTGACCCTGTCAGCAAAAACAAATGAAATAAATAACAACCATCTTCTTAAGACTGACTTGCATTCTTTATCTGAAAATACACAAATTGTTGAAATGATTAAAACGCGTTTCATCTGAAAAACTTAAATCTACAATTTAATAAATTAAACATTGATAATTTTAGGTCAATAATTGTCCAGTTAAAAAGATTAGGGCGACAGATGCAACACAGCATGTTCTTTGTTTGAAAAAAATAAAAACTTTCTTTCAACGAAATGAACTTGTGATAAAACTTAACAGTATTTTTAAAAGGTCGGTGATTCAACTTGAGTGTCTGAATAAAGGGATGAATGAGCCCCTGTTTGCGAAAGCCGGATGTTACAAACTTCTTGAAGTCTTTCTTTTACAAATTCAAAAATTTCAATTCCATGAATTCGGGTTTTTCACTACAGAATTCATAAGTTAAATCATAAATTCGTGTATTTAAAATCATAAATTTCGTGAAATATTGTAAAGTTTTAAAACGGAAATTTCCTGAGTTAAATTCTGAAGTTAAAATACAATTTTGAAATCTGATTTCTGAATTTAAAATCTTTATTTTGTGAAATTGAAATGGAAAAAAAAAAAATTTTAATCGTAATCCCGGGGAAATAAAACCAAATTTTAAAGTTTGTAAATTTCAGAAGAGAATTGGGGGACTTTTTATTAAAAAATGCCCCAAGGTTTTTCGTATTTCATGTAATAACAGTTTCGGGTTTTAAAGGGCCTGCAGAGAATAGGGGGAAAGATACCTGTCTTTTTTATGGCTGCTCCATTTAAACTGGGCTGCTATCGTATTGTGGCTTTTCGATCCAGACTTTCTGGCATGGAATGTTCTGTAAACGTAACAGTATTGCAAAATTATTTTTTTTCATGCACAAAACAAGAATAAAATTTGGCCATATCGCAATAATAGGATACACACTTTCATTGAAACGATTGACTATCAATATTATCTATTTCGCAAAATTAATACTCACATTTAACCCCCAACCTCTCAAAAACTATCATCCCCTCACACCCTTATCCTACCTTTTTTCCTTTTCGCCCTTTATAAAAAAGTGTATGGATTGAAACAATAAAGGATTCATTTCTTTTTTATTTTCAAAGACGAAAAAAACAGAAATTTTCGGAAATAGCGTTATTCTAAAAAATTAGAGACAAATGAAATGGTATGTTTTATACTTTGACAAGCTTTTTGAAATACTTGATAAAACCGTGGTTTCTGATCATAATATACTGCGCATGTGCAGAAATATTACTTCCGTTGCAAAGGATGCTTTTAAATGTTAAAAGACGTGTATAAACGAACCTGAGCAATGAACAAACTTGTATGATCGAACATGTCTGATAGTAAAGTTGTGGGCAAGTTTTCTCATATTTGTATCACTGTAAAATATAAACGAAATAAACAGAGAATTTTGAGATAAACATCGTGTTGTGATGACATTACAGGTTATTAAGATTTTAGGACTTGTTTGAGCATTAAACAGTGAGGCTCGTGAAAACGAAGAGTAATTCATTTTGAAAATATAATTTTGTGTAAGTAAATTGATCAAATATTTCACATTTAGTAAAAGAACTTCAACATCCTGTGGGGACATCATACATTTTTTGCAGTCTGACAAAGTTGTAAATTGTCGGCTGCTCACGTTAACGTGTTTTTAATATTGCGGTCCGAATTCAAAGTCCATTTCACAAAGTAAGCAGCTTAAAGATTACCACAATTCAAAAATACTAGTAATAAATACAGTGTAAAATTAAATATATCAGCGTGATACACATGTTAACTTACCTTATAACCTGTTTATTGTCAGTCATCATAACTCTAATTCTATCTACCATCATATCAACAATGTCAGCTTCCATATCTCGAGCAATCTAAATAAGAAAATAAACATCCACTCAATTTTAAGATAATTAGCATTTCTTGTCTTTCTTTTTTATCACAAGAATTTAAAAAAAACGGTTATATATCAAAAACATAGTTTTAAGTTTTTTTTTAAATTTAATTCATTCATTCGTTCGTTCGTACGTTCGTTCGTTCGTCTGTTCGTTCATTCATTCATTCATTCATTCATTCATTTATCCATCCATCCATCCATCCATCCATTCATTCATTCATTCATTCATTTATCCATTTATTCATTCATTTATTTATTTAATTAATTCATTCATTCATTCATTCATTTAGATAAAAAGAAGTGAGAACATACCTTATTAATTTTCTCTCTTAAGCTTATTTCAGCTAGGAATTTTGTCTCAAACTCTCCGAGGAATTGTTCGTGAACAAGCTTTCTCTTCTCTAGAAATACTTGCATAAGCTACAGAAAAAAAGATAGAATATATGATGATTAGAGTTATTTGATGTTTCTGCAAATGAAATAGAGAGTAATATATAATTAAAAAATTATTTTTGTATTGCTTTAAATGAAACTTATTTTATCATTATACAACCAAGAATATACAAATGTACATGAATACATGAGTATCACCGGAAGTGACGACAATAAATGTCCGCTTAAAGTGATGTTTACAGAATAATTTTCATTTTATAATTGTATAATGTCTAGAAAGACACATACCTTAATGGCAGCGGTTCTTGGTTTCTTTTCATCTTCGTTATATCTAAGAGCGGATTTTTGTGTTTCTAGAGAAAGTTTGCATTCGTCTAGTTTGTCTTTGGATTTCCAACATTTCTATAAACAAACCAATATCAAAATGTTTGAAATAAGAGAAAACATAAATAGAATGAATAATATTCATAGTAATATTTTACACGTAACAAACAAAACAAAGAAAAAAGAACCTTTGAATCTAATTAGTTGCAATTTCTATATAATATTATTATTATATCATTTTCGGTGTATGTTTCCCCGACGACCCCTTTCAATAGAAAACCGTTCATATTTCAAAACGATGGAATTTGGTTCTTTCGTTGTATACAACAGAATGTGTTTTCCTAATACATGTACTTAATTTTAATATCTCCAAAAATATATTCAGTTTTATTGCCAATAGTTAGCGTCTTTTGAAACAATTCCGTGTGTATGTGAAAAGAGAAAAATATCATTTTATATTGATCAGGAGATAATGATTTCAAAAGAACTTATACCAAAATAATGTACATTTACCATTCTAACGTCTCTGAGGGCTAGCAGCGCCCTCTCGTGTCTCTTTATTAACTCTACCAACGTCTGTTTCCGTTCTCTTAACTTGGCTTTGGTCTCTGATGAAAATCTATGAAAACAAAAAATAAATAAATATGTGAATAAGGACAATTCGAATTCGATTTGTAGACGCATACATTCAGTACAGTGGTGGCAGAATGTTTATAATTACAAATTAGTAGCAATATATTTAGTGCTAAAGGAAGAAAGAAAGAAAGAAAGAAAGAAAGAAAGAAAGAAAGAAAGAAAGAAAGAAAGAAAGAAAGAAAGAAAGAAAGAAGGCGACATTTCTTACAATGTATATCTGAACTCGTCATTTGTAAGAAGGTTATAATCTGCACGTGATTTCTTGAGGACAGAATTTCTCAAAGTACGGAGGACATTTGTAAGTCTGTTGCCTATATATAGAAAGAGAAGGAAATATAGAAGATAAGAAAGAAAAGTGAAATACAAAGAAACAATTACACGAGAGCATATTACGAGAGATCTGTGCAGCAGACGACATTCTCAAACGCTATTATTGCAGACGACAGTATATGAAGCAGAAACCAGCTATCACTTTAGAATCATACAAATAAATGGACTGTTGGGAAACAAGGAATAGAGAACAGTAAAGTAATGTATAATTGCTTTGAAGAAAAATTCAAGCTATGTCATAGCAGACGACATTCTTGAACGCTGTTAATACAGACGACATGATAAAAAGCAGACACAAGCTATCACGTTTAAGTATATATCACATTAGACAAATAAATTTACTTGATGAAACAGACATTAGATTAAATGAATACAATGCAGTTCGTTAAATATCTGATTGCTTTGAATGAAAATTATTGGTTTCACAAAAAAAGATGGAATGAAAAAACATCAGAATTTCACCACTATATATAGTAAAGACGAGTTATGAACAAAGATCGAAGACATTGCACAAAATAATCTTTCATAAATCGAAATAAAAATACAAAAGTTAAAAGAAATTAGACTAACCTCGCACTGTTTTTATCTTTTTTGATACGTGTTCCATGTTTGGAACATATCCCGTTACGGCAGAAAACTTTTCAATGTTTGAAAACCTGAAAAGGAAAACGAAAATAAAAATGAATTGACAGGACTGTTTATAAATGTTTTCTTTTGTTTTGTTTCATTAAAACTTGCATTTTAATATCATGTCATGTACATGTAATAATTGGCCATAGTGTTCATTGTATACGAGTATTAAGCACATTTGTCAAAGATTGAGACAAGTGTACAGACTTATCGCGATTCGAACTCATCTTTGCGCATTTTCTTATTCTTAAATAATATTGATAATATCTTATTGAAAAGGGTCTTTGGGCTTAAAATGACGTTGCCGGATGAATTTTAAAAAGTATTGTTCTGATAGCTAACTATAGCACGAACTCTGTAAAAAAAAAAGGAAAACATATTTTTTTATATATTTTCTGCTATTTCAGTCGTGAAAAATATCAGATTTACTGAGTTATTGATGCACAAAGACACACGTGTGTTTATATAATGTTTCTCATTAACTAGAGTCCATCTTGGTTTTCGTCTGAAGATATCATACTGGTTAATTAGTTCCAGGAAACAGACTATATTGTAGTTCGAAGAAGATCTAGGTATACTGTATAACAAATCAGGCTAAAACGATTGTGTTATTTAGCAAAACTGAAATTTAGCAAATTAGCATAACATTAAAATTGATAGGACTTGGTTATCTTTATGCCACAGTAAGACCACAGATATACATACACATTCAACTCCATGGTAAGACTATATCTATTCAAAAACCCTTTAATATACAAGCAGACAGCCTAGTCAATTATTTATATAAAATTGTACAATTTTTCACCAATGAAAGTAAATATATTTACATTTCTATATCTTTCGTCAACGTAGACACTTTAGGAATTAATATCGTCTCCATGTTCATGATAAAATCGATGAATTTCCAAAAAAAATTCGCTGATGAAGTTGTGTGTATGCAATCGCTTGGTTGATGCTAACGCTAATGTAACGTCGCTAAGAAACGACGTCAACGTTACATTAATAACGTTCAAACTCTCGCAAAACGGGAAAATAAATTTCATCGTTTTAACGTTATAAAACCGATTGAAATTGTTAATATTTTTTAATAATATTTGTTTTTAAATTAGACTTAATCAAATAAGTTAATATAGAGATTTTGCGTGTCTTAAAAAGAGCATTAAATAAAACAAAAGAAATGCTGCATAACGGAACTGACGTCATAATGACACGACGTTCAAATTGCCTATCGGGATATCATAATTTTAAACGGTGCGCAATTTTTTGTCAAAACTTGTGAACATTATATATATATGAATCTTGTTAAAGAATACTTGCATTAAGGAAAGTAATTATATGTAAAATATAGATATAAAGGATATTGAATGAGTGTAAGTTCATCATTGAATTTATTGAACGAGTTGAATAAAATTATATCATGCAAACCTCTGGCGAGTTCAATAAATTTAGTAATGAACGAATATAATATTCTATTTATCACATACCCAAAATAAGGCCGGTTTAAGGTAAAAAAAGAATCATTTTTCATTGAGGGGCCTATAGTGTAACGCTAACATTTAGCGAGTCTTTACACTATGTTTGTATAACACGTCAAAGTGGCCGTGTGTGGCGCCGTTATATGTCGCAACGCCGCTAAATGTCGCACTTGCCGCTAAATGTCGCACCATTGACGCTACATGTCGCAACCGCCGCTAAATGTCGCAAAATCATTTGCCGTTAAATGTCGCAATGTTAACGTTAAATGTCGCACGAATTTCCCTTTACCGTTAAATGTCGCAACACTACCGTTAAATGTCGGCAAGATGTAAATTCATGTTTAAATCATGTTTTAAAGTAGAATTATATTACTTTTTAACATTTCTCATAGTTATTTTAATTGTAATTGCCATTACACAAAAATTAATCTTTGTCTTACTTGGTTTCTTTTAACGAACATAAATATCGAGGTGTTTTGAGCTTCTATAATAATGTTAATCTTTAGGCTAGAAAGGATAATTGATATTAAATTCTCAACAGATAAGTATTTTTCTTTTGTTTAACATTTTCATTTGCAACCCTGATTGACAACAGATTAAAGGTATTATGGTATTGTCACTCTCGGAATTTGGTTTATGTAATTTCATTTATTTTCTCAGAAACTACCGAATTTACTTTAAACGTGGTTTAGTTGTTCACTATGATCATATGATGCAATATCAAAAGGCAGATAATCCTAGTTATAATTTGCAAAGTTATTCCCCTTATTTCTTTAAGATGTTTTCGCTCTGATTAACTTTTTGGTTACGGCTAATTTCAAACATATTCACTTTAAACTTAAATACTTATTTCATATGAAAGTACTAATGCATTTCTAAAGGACAGATGTTTTTTTTTTTCTAAAATATCTCCCTTTTATATTTTCAAAAAAAAAAAACAAAAACAAAAACGTGAAATATTTATTGAATATCAAGGCATTTTTTTCCATTTTAACAGAAACGGCAAATACGTGAAAAACATAGTATGAAATGCACGGTCAGTACGAAAATCAGGAAAAAAATATCATGTAGTACTCCTTGATCATGTAGTATTCGATACGCAGTCGGGTGCTAGATATGAGCGAATTTTACGATTATATGCACCGTAATTTTTGTAAGCAGCCAGCCTGCATAGAGCGCGAGACTTGCAACCTCGACCTTGTTGGTTCTATTCCCGGGCTGGCCAACTAAAATTACTGATCAGTCTTCCGGATGATACTTTAAATCGAGGTCCCGTGTATGGGTGCTAAACAACTTGGCACTTTAAGGAAGGGGAAGCTTCTGGAATCGGGGCATCTTTCTATATCTATAATTGCACTATCCTCAAAAATTTAAAATGACTTGTACTCTTCTGGAGGACTCGCCCATATGGGCAACCGGTGGCGAGTATAAATAAACGCAAATTCACACACAGTAAGCAGATGTCAAAGTTAAAATAAGTAAACAAGATTTAGTAAATTTTACGATTTGTCAAAAATTATTTACGCTTTGACATTGTGGCAAGTGATATTTTACTCGCCAAGTCGCTTTATAGTAGTTTATACTATGAAAGATTCTCAGTAACTATCATATAATAAGAATACAAATAACTGATTAAGCTCATATTGGCCTTGCTGTTTGGCTGAAGACAGCTAGCCGTTTTGGCCAGAGAATTTAGACTTTTTATATCATTGCTTTGCTGTAATGAAAATCTTAATCTGTAACGCTTCATTATAAATATTTCACTGATATTAAATCTGACATTTTTTCCAAAAAGACAAGACATGAATTATACTCGTACATATGTAACAACGATTTTGGTTAGATATCTGTAACCACTTTTATGTTCGTCCTCAGATGCGCATGTCGAATACGTCATAGTGAAGATCAAATGACCTTAAATACAAACATACGCACAATAGTCTATCTATTTTAAGATAAATTTAAGAACTTTATTTTTCAAAACAAAAAAATGGAACAGATGAGTAAAGAAAATATCTTTTTAATTTATTGCAACAATAATATGAATGACCACGGTCTTTCTGGCGTTAAAATGGAAATAAAAACACGCATACGACTAGCAAATTTGATAAAAGCATAATTTGTTCGTGTAAACTTCATCATGCAAATTGAAATCTATTTTAGCATTTGTGACCATGGCCCATTGATCCCTTCCTCAATCAAAAGGAAGAATACCATGCAAGATATCTACCTTCCAAATATGAAATACATTTGTCATATCATAAAACATGTTATAAAAAATGGCAATAACTTGATTAAAATTTATGCAATAATTATGTTACTTGCCATGATCATGTTTATTGTATTGATTAATAAATGTGTATATTATGAAGCCCTTGGTACCAGTAGATTTTAGGAAAAATCCAACTTGCCGTTTTATTATTTTGATCGTTCCATTTGTTATAACATGACACCAATTTTAGGCTGCCAGGCTCGTAGACTGCCAGCGCTAGGCTATTAGACTACAAAGTTAAGTGCCCTAAAGGTAAAGGCGTTTTTGTCCATAATCATGCATGTGTATGTGCTTTTGCATGACCTTTCATAGTGATTTTACTGTATTTTAAATTGTTTCCATATTTATAATATAAGTCTCTAACTTTAAGCTACTAGGCTGCCGACTCTAAGCTGTTAGATTGCCAACTTCAGCTTGCAAAGCTGACATCGATTGGCTGTTAGGATGTTAGGCGGCCTCCTCAGGATACAAGGCTACCAACGTTAGGCTTACAGGGCGTTAGGCAATGTCTTAAGGCCCAGGTCGTCAGCAATTTAGGCTTCCTCTTCCGACAGCGAGACAATTTGCCTCCTCAGTCAACAAGGCCATCAGACTTCCACCTCAGGCAGCCTGTCTCTTCTGCCATTTAACAGACACAATTGTACTAAACTATTTACAGAACAATGCCAATTTTGCAGTTTCATACAAATAGTAGACAATTGTATAGTTATCAATATGTACTTGCATAAGATCAGGTAAAATCAAACGCAAAACAATATACATTTATTTACAAGATGAGTGTTATCGCCACCAAAATTGTACCGCAGTTCCATATATAATAAATTCACTCGCTTTCAAATTGAGTAGGCAGATTTAATTAATATGATACAACAATAAAACTTGAGTTCAACATAAAATTACATCTTGCGACATTTAACGGTAGTGTTGCGACATTTAACGGTAAGGGAAAATCGAACGGCATTTAACGTTATAATTGTGACATTTAACGGACAATTAACGGATGTTGCGACATTTAGCGAAATGGTGCGACATTACGCGGCAAGTGCGACATTTAGCGGCGTTGCGACATATAACGGCGCCACACCGTGCAATACCATATTTACCGATTCGCAAAATCGGCACGGGTATATGATAAAGAATATACACGTGATATACATTCATGCAACCTGTTGATACGTTATATAAGCAATTTCTAAAATTAATTGTTTTTAAAAACAGGCTCATTATGATGGCCATATTATTAATTGTTGTAAATTTAATATTAAACAGAGACGACAAAGCTTTTGTCAGAGATGTGAGTATTATAGATATGCATATAGGAGATATGCTCTGGGCAGTATCCGGACAATATCTGGATATTTTATCATCTCTAGTGACCTTGATCTCGCAAATATTAACCTAAATTACATGTTTCACAAATGTAGTCATGATAGTTATTATCATTTGTGTTACAATCCCTCAATAAATGATGACTAAATGGTCCCCGTACAAAAACTTTAACCTCTCTATGTGATCCTGACTTTGGTAGCAGGGACCTGGATTATGTGCACAATACTTAGCTTCACAATGGTAGTCATGATAATGACCATTTGTGTTTCAATCCCTCAATAAATGATGACTGACCCCTATGTGTGACCTTGACCTTGGCCACAGGCACTTGAATTTTGCACGCGACACTCAACATCACAATGGTGAACATTTGTGTCAAGTTACATGTATATTGAAATCCCTCTATGCATGCAGAAGTTTTGCTCCAAACAAGCGTTTTTCAATGACCTCTAAGTATGACCTTGACCTTTGACCTAGAGACCTGGTTCATGCGCATATAACAGCTTCTAATATTTCTATGAAGTTTCATTAGAATCCCTCCATATGTGTAGGAGATATACTCTGGACAAAATCTCTATATTTTATCATCTTTAGTGACATTGACCTTGCATATATTAACCTAAATTACATGTTTCACACCCGTAGTCATGATAATGACCTTTTGTGTTTCAATCCTTCAATAAATGGTGGCTAAATGGTCTGATTACACATTTTCATATTTTTATCTGAACTTTGACCCCTATGTGTGACATTGACCTTGGCCGCAGGGACCTAAACTTTGTTTGCCCGCAACACGTACTCCGCCTCACAATGGTGAACATTTGTGCCAAGTTATATTGAAATCCCTTTATGCATGTAGAAGTAGAGACCTGGTTCATGTGCGCGACACAGATTCTAATAGTGGTGAACATTTCTATGAAGTTTTATTTAAATTCCTCAATACATGTAGAGATATGCTCCGGACAATAATTGTGTCACCCACCTGTCCCTGTCCGTCAGTCTGCCCCGGGGGGGGGGGGGGGGGCTAAAATTCGACCCGTTTTTCAAATTGGCGTATAAAAACTTTAATGTAATATACTATATGTACTCCTGTGGTTTTATATTGTCTGCTTATTATCAAGTCAGTTTTACACAACTGACAGATCCAAAGAGATGCGTTTTTTTTTCGAACCAGTTTTCATATACATGTATATAATAATGTAGCCAGTACAATAACTAAGACTTATATGTAGCAACCATCATCTCGTGGAAAAGAAATACATGTAATTATCTTTTTTTTAACTCGAGACAAGCTTCTTAAAAATAGGTTCAGCAGAATAGTGGCCTGGTGACAAAAGTGTCTGCTTCTCAACTCGTGAATCATGAATTTGAGACCAGTTACTGGGCTCATGATGTCACCAGTAAGTTCCAGGAAGCAGACATAAAGTTGAAAAAAGTTGGAAGAATTCCATACACAAATTCTATAGCTAAACACTGCCTTTATATCATAAACCAAATTTTCAAGGAGTATGTACTTTCTGACAAAGAAACTAAATGTTTACTTGTGAATATAAAAACAACATTTGATTTTTATATCAAATTTAATGTACTCTTAAACAAGTTAAATACACTATCAAATATACACTCTATTCTACAGAAAAAAATGTACTTTCATCAAGAAAATATAGTAAAATAGATCCAAACAACATACTAACTAATATTTTGATTTCAAAACACAACAGTGCTTACTTTAAAAACAGTGCTAGAAAGTGAAAAAATATACAGGTAACAGTTGTTTCTTTGGAGTTTTTTTTTTATCAGATCATTCAATATTATGCACTTTTTGCAATGGCAACAATATTCAAGACATATTCAGATAACCTGTTTCAAAAGTTTGGGATTTTTAAACTTCCCATGTGAAACATAATTAATTTTGTGTCTGTCTGTACAATTTCAACTACTAAGTTTACTATATTTTTTATGAAATATCAAAACTGGAAGTTTTCTTTATGTCATTATTTAGAACTTTCAATTTGTATATTGTATATAGGTATAAATAAAATGTTTAAAATATTTCATAACTAGTTAAAAATCATAGTAGACTTAAATAATAACAATAAATAATTACATGTTATTGTATTTTTATCAAAAACAAGTAAATTGTTATCACAGACTATATTAATAAAGTAATAATTTTATCCATGATTTGCAATATACTCCAACAGGTTTTTTTATGAATTCAAATATTACGTGCATAACTTGCACCTTAATTTAAATACACATTTCAGAATATCTTTTAACAATGTCATTATCATTTATTCTTTAATAAAAACAACCATGAAGAAACAAGATTAAACAAATACTGAAATAAGTATGTTTATGCATCACAGATAAATACATGTATGATTATATTAAAAATAAGTTGTTTTCCCTAGTTTTATCACTAGAATAAAAATTATTTAATATATCATACTAACATTGCATAAAACTTGTCGAACAACTTTAACAGCACTTTTGTGCTATATGATATAATCAAATACAATAATGTACAATATCTTTTTATTAAATGGTTTCATAATCTCATAAGTTAGTGAAATAGTTAATGCACACACCATGGCAAACTTGATGAGCCAAAGTTCAAAGGTTATATAAAACAATGTAATAAAAAAAACTTTGAGGACTAGAACCAGTCTTTAAATGCAAGCATCTGATTGGCTCAAACTGACAATACATTTGAAATGGACCAATGGCAGTGCTTTATTTTTAGACTGGTTTCCATCTTAGCTTTGGTTTGCCATAATACATATATAATACATACATGTATATTGCTTGAAATTTCATATATAACTGTAACTATTGAATAACAATCATTCAAACATTATCTTTATCATGCATGAAATGGCATATACTAAATACAGATATATATTTACTTGTTATCCTCCTTAGCCTTGCATGTTGGAAAAATTAGTGTCTGCTCAAAATGCTGCTTGCCTAAATTTTTAATACTATCCAATTTTTAAGAAACAAAAAAAGGTGGGTCACACAGTTTGGTAACTGACAAGAAGCTAAAGTACTTGCTTTCAGGTGCTGGTCTGGTATCAAGCTGTAGGCAAAGACTATTGTATGTATATGAGAGTCAATACACCAGTTAAGTCACAAAAAAAGCAGATTCTGCTGTCAAAAGATATTAATTTATCTCCATGCAATTTCCATGGAGTATTAGCCAAAGATATGAATTTTAAGCCAAAAGTATGGTGGTCAATGAAAACCTTAATGTAAGTAACCTGAGGAGACTCGGTTGTTTAACATTCAGAAGACTAAGGGTTTATCGTATTTAAAGCATAAAACAATATCAAGTCATGGAATTTCAACAAATAATGACTTAAATGTATATGTAAATTTCAAAACAGACAAAAATATCTTATATCAGTAAAAATATAATTTCACTTTACATATCAATAGTGAAAAATGTGAGATTAATCAATCGGCCATTATTTATAATGTTACAAATCATCATGAAATCATCAGAAATTAATTAAGTGATTTTAATCATTCAGTAATTAATTGTTCGAGTGATTTGATTTTTTTAAAGTTTACCCTTTTCCTTCTATAAATACTTTTTTCAACTTAATGAATATTAAAAATGGTACACATTACAAATAAAAATGAATATGTAAATGAGATACAACAAATTTTCTGAATATTTAGACAAAAACAATGTCTATACTGTTGGCTGCGGAATTTAAGTAGACTGTAACTGAAATTTCTATCATCATCTATAAAGTAAAGGCAGTCCCAAGTCCATTTTCAACTATTTAGCATTGGTAAAGCATATAGGTTAAGATAATAGAAAGTTCTTAAGTCACTGTCCGTAGAACTGTTTTCATGGATATTAATTATGCGTCTAATGGTGATGGTTTATGATAATGATGATTACATTTTTACTCGAGGACGAGTTACGATGGATCAACCGTTGAGGTTTTTATGATGTGGTCTGTCTTGTGTTCCAATTCGCTTCTTTGCAAGAGGGTTACCCTCATCTGGTTTATTTAAAGCATGAAATTTCCATGCAGTTGCAAACATATCAACCTGAAATGACACATAATAATCCATTGATGTTGTCTTTCTTATAACAATGTTATTATAGGTGCCTTCGAAATGGAAGAACACCAAAAATGCCAATCTGTACATTAATATTTCAGTCATATGTACATAATGAGGCATCTGTACATTAATTTAGGCATCTGGACCATAATAATTCAACCATTGGTACATTTATCATTTAATAAAGGCATTAATTTTGTACTTGAAAATTCAGAAAAGGTATCTGTCCATTAATTCAGGTATATCTGTATGCATGTTTTAATTAAGGCAATCTGTTCAATAATAATTCAGGCATCTGTACATAAAGCAATTAAATCAACTGTACATTGACTAAGGCAACTGTATATTAATTAAGGCTGCATCTGTACGTTAAATAAGAAATCAGTGTATTAATTAAGGCATCTGTAAAGTGATTAAGTCATCTGAACATTTATTTTAGCATCTATGCATTAATTACATTTAGGAAACTGTATATTAATTATGGCATCTGTACATTAATTAAGACATCTGTAGATTAGTCAATGAACAGGTACAAATCTGATCTGAATACAAATTAGTGCCAAGCCATATTCAAAGGCAGTGACAGTTTAATAAAACTCAATCAAAGATGCCCGAATAAAACTTTATGAGATCATTACATCACTGACTCTTTTTTTACAAGATAACTTACATTATTCAACTTAAATACACACTTTTTTCAGTGGTCATAATACCCAAATTTTGGGAGTCAAAACAGAATATATAAGATTTCACTATATAAAACATGTAAAAAAAACACACACACTATTTTTCCAAATTGATATTCTTTAATAAGAATTTAAGACAGTAACTTTTTATAAACTTTATAAGCAAAATGTCTAAATGTGTTCTAATCACATCATTCAAACAGATTTTCAGTTGTCATGATGGGATTTGAGCAATATCTTAATAAAAAGTAACTTAAAACAAGTAAAATTGTATATAATAAACTTACTGTCACAATATTGTCTTTTTTGTTCTCTTTTTCAATTTTGGAGATTTCATCTGGGGTAAGAATTGGAAGCCTGACCCACTGTATAACATTTTTAGCTACATCTGCCACTGGTCTACCAAGGACAACCTGTAATGTAAAAGAAAATTATGGCTGAGGTTAAACAAACAAAGTTGTCAAGTAGACTATATGTACGTGAATGATACAGTAATTAAAAGGGGAAATTCTAACATTCCAATACATAAAGTGTCTATGAAAGTTTAAATGCAGTACAATTGTTTGAAGACATTCTCTCTATAGTCCTAACAAAGTACAGATGTTTATATATAAGATTTAGATTTGTGCATTTCTTCTCTATCTTTACAAATAAAATGCAAATATTATTGTGCAAAAAGAAAAAGAGTATATTGACATAAAGCAGGGCAACAAAAGTTTTGTTTTACCAAAGGACCATAGGCTTGCGATCTGATAAGATTTAAAACTGCAGTGGAGATGTCCATTAGTGTCTAAAACCAACGTACGAATAATCTCTGATAATACTTAGACAGCATCAAGAGAAATGGAACCTAAATAATCATCAAGAGAGATTGCCCATTCTTAATTAACATAAAACAAATGTTCAAAAAAATAGAAAGTACAAATGCTTACTGAATTAACTGCAGCCCATTCCTTGATGTATTTAATAATTTCAGCTTCATCCATATTAAGACCATCAACTTTGAGTATCTCAGACAAGGCATCCTCAGAGAGTTCCTGGAATGCTTTTGACTTAAACACACTCTGCAAATAATAAGATACAAATGTTATTTAAAATTAGCATATAATTGCTCTCTATAAAGTAAGACTCACTATAAGCATTTTTGTATTGCTTGAAAATTTTGTTTAAAGGCACATTATGCCTCAGAAACAAATAATTATTTCCATTTATAAACATGAGTTCTATCAAATTTGAATAATGATTTAATAAGAGCAAGTCAGATACTTATCTCATATAGAGAGTGTGCGCTGTAAAATCGCTCGTAAAATGTAAACAAAGTAGTACTTTGACTTCCATACAAAGTACTAACTCATTGTAAATATACGTATTGCCAAAAATAGCAACAGAAACAAAAGATTGTTCATTGCGAATAAATATTTTTTTTTACCTTATAATACAGAACACAATTTTTTTTAAGCTTTTGAGGAATAAAAATGAAAGCATAACTTGAGACTAATAGGCCTTTAAAATACAGGCATTATGTCATCCTGAGTTGACTAAATTCTGAATTTCTCTTATTATAAAGTGTAAAGATCGTTACACAACTTACCTTGGAAAACTAAAGTAATGATCATGTATACATGTAACAAAACTTTCTGAAAGAACTATGAAGTGTTTCTGCTGTCAGAACTCACAAAATTGGTATATTTTTTATACAGAGTCAATTATTTCTCACACATTTCAAAGAATTGCAGGATACATGCTACAAAAATTGATGCTAATTGTCACTTATATACATGTACATGTATACAGAATATATAAAACTTACACTTTAATTGAGAAAACGTAATGATTTAAAGTACATGTAAGATAAAAAATATTCTTTTCCAATTTCAAATTAAAATTATAAATAGAAATGTGTCAGTGTTTTGACAGTTTAAGTCAAAAGATGGATAACATGTCAGTGATTCAGACAAACAAGAGCAAATCTATGTGCCTGACCCACCTCCTTCGTAGTTGGGGGGAGATAAAAATACCAAAAGAATAAATAAATATCATACTTCAATGTTAGATATATCTGTCTTGTATGAAATACATGGTATTGAGTGGGATGAATATCTACGATAATGGGAAATAATTAAGTCTTTATCAGAAAACAAGTCAATGTTACTTTAAAAGATATAACAATGTTTGGACTACAAGAGGAAAAGAAAATGGAAACTTAAATTTAACAAGCTTAAAGAACTTAATTTTTCATTACTCAAGTGGCATGTGTACTTTAAAGTGAATACCAAATGTAAATGCTGTTGTTTAACTTTCATGTATAAAACCTAACACTTCTTTATAAAATGGGGGTAAAAATGACAGCAAAACTGCAGTAACTTTTATGAAATAAAGAAGGACTTACAACAGTTTTGCAATCAGCCCTTGATAAGGTTACAGGAAACTATTACCAATTACCAAGAATTAATTAAACAGATAATGTTGCTTGATTTAGTTTCAAGCGGACTTTCAGGACACAGTCTTACCTCTGTATGCTGTTCAATGTATATTAAACATTTTTCTTTCAGCTCTTCTTGGCCGTAAGTTACTGCCGCTTGCATACAATCACAGGCATTCTGTACACTGAGATTTTCTTCCAAATATTCACAGCATAACTGAAACAATACCATAAACTCATCAAACTATTTCAGTCTCTGATCTTAAACATTTGATGCTGCTAAATTATTTTCACAATATGTTTACTTTTTACATACAGAAATTTCATATGTCTCATAACTGTTAAGTATAATTTAATTTGATCAGAAAAAATTTCGTTTTTATTTCTATAGGCTGACTCAGTGTTTCAATTCCATGAAAGTGATGCATCATCACCTTTGTAGCGCAGTAATGGGTTAACTCCTATTAAATCATATCAGGAGTTAAGGTGTTACTGCACTAACGTGATGACATATAATTACATTTAAAACATATTGCACAGCTTTAAAATGCATACCATAAATTAGCAACCATTGTTTTAATCACATTTAAAGACTACTAAAATTAGCAAAGCTTTTAAGTTACATATTAAAACTTGGAAAAAATGAAAATTTTATTATATATACCCTTCGTAAATCATCAAGTCCATATTCAAGGGCTGTTGCAAGAACCTCTATTGCCTATAAAAATATATATATAATTATACATAAAACCAAGAAATATCATAAGCAAGAGAGACAGGTTACATTTATGTATTATACACATGTACTTACATTTTAGTATTATACTTACAGGTAAAGTCAAATCTATGAATTTACAAAATTATGTTTCTAAGTGAAATGTTAAATATTTTTTTATTGTTGAAAGTTGAATAGACATGATAATTGGATTTAACTCAATACAGGATTGGAGCAGTACTTCTAGAATCTTGCAGAAATCATCATTGATCACAAAATAGACAAATATCCTTTTATTCGCCGATTTTTACATTTTTCATTCATTATCATACATAAATCGGTGTAAAAAAGATGAATTAGACCTGTTAAAGTTCATTGCATTGGGTAAAAAGGCAAGATTTTCAGCATTTTATGATTCAAGCACCTTGCCCGGTATATACCGAAATACAGTGTGGTGCTCCAATCCCTTTTTAAGTCTCACTCATGATAATTAGTATTATGTAGTAGTTTTATCCTTTAACTTAATGTAGTTTGACTTAAGACATACTGTATTAGCAGATACTTAGAGGCTCTGTGATAATAAGTTTTTTAATCATTTTGGTCCTAAACTTCTGTGACTATATAATGGAAAGATCCAAGATGGAAACATGCACATTAATTAAAAAATCAAAAGATTAAAGATGAATTATTTCATTATTATAAATCGCAATAAATGCTACTACAGTGAAATTTGTATTTATAGTGTACTAAGAAAAAAATAGTCACTTACAATTTTTGGCGTAAGAGTTACACAATTTGTGTAGATAAACTCTAGCATTGCTGTAAAAATGTCCGCATTCATGTCAGAAAGTACAAAAGGAGTTTCTTTATCTATTGTGCCATTCTTTTGTGTTTGCTCTGCAAACGTAGCCTTGAAAACAGCACATCTTGAGGACAGAATACATCTATGAGCATACACAGCCTTTCTGTTTTGTCCAATCAGAAACTTGACGTCACTGAAAAGAAAATAATAATTCAAACATATTACATATCACTTATATAGAATACAGATAAGAAAAAAGAAAAAGTTGAACAACAGATTTCTTAATTTTAGACAGGACATTTGAATATTCTCAATGCTTGATAGCGGAACAAGCTTAGCTGCACGACCAACCTGTGGATATAAATTCTGAATCAAACCGCAACGTATGACAGATATTAATATTCCTGTTATTGCTAGTTATCACTCCTGTTACAACTTCTTATTGGGCAATGACCGTGTAGAAAAATGCAGATTGTGTTTGGAATTGGAAAAAGACATATTGCCCGATCAAAAAACATATCAATGTTTCTATGACAATTTTAAATTAAGTCTTATTTGATGATTTGTTTTGTTTGTTTCATCTTACACCTTTTACCAACAGTATTTCAGTCATATATTGGCGGGTAAAATTTAGTTTCCTTAGACAATCGTTCCTGGAGAGTGACTAGGTTACACCTGACTCAGGCGCATGAATGTATCTGATTTAAAATTAAAGGTTTTTATAGAAAATTAAGCAATGAACTTTGCCACTAGAAGGAAAGACAAAGAAAAAGAATTATTAAATTCAACTTTCACTTTCCCTTTCTATACATTTTGTTAAAACATAATTTTGTAGAAAACTAAGGTTCTTATCCAAATATATTGATCAACTTGTTCTTAATACAGTGCAATCAACTAAATAGTATATGTCTGACCTGGTTGTAATGGGCTAGCTAGGGATTATCAAATGGCAAAGTGTGTTTTTATATTGGAATTTCCAAACTATTAACTTTTTTTGGAAAACTACCTGTGCTCTTTATTATTAACCAATTTCTTCATGTTGGAAGCAAACTCCAATATATCGCCTTTCATCACTTTTTCGTTTGCCATCTTGTCTTATAGTTTCCTCAGTTAATTGACAAGATAATTGAACTCTTGTGAACTAATTGTCAATTAGCGTAGCGTCCGGTTGTCAAGCACCTGATATGAACTTCCGGTATAAGCAAGGGAGTTAAATCTTCTGAACGCCACTAAATATTTTCCTTCCAATAAAATATCTATCTGATAAAACCATTCGCGAGGACGTATAGTAGACGTATTACACAAGATTATAAACAAGTAGCCCAATTAATTCGGCGTGAACGGTTTGACCCATTTTACAAACTTTTTTTTTTCTTAATGAAAAAGACATCGCCCGTCCAAAATTATCTCGATGTCTCTTTGACAAGTCTAATTAGTTGGACGAATAAACAAGTACACAAAAGCAAAATTTATTTTATTTATTTATTTATTTATACATTTTAGGAACATAGCACATGATACAAAATATAAAATCATACAGTTAAGAGATAACATATATAAATCATATAAATAAAATGAGATCATAAAATTGCATAAAAGAGCACACTTTTGTCATAAAAAATAAAATAAGAGGTACTATGCACCTATGGATAGCCCATTAAGCTAAATGCTTATTTCCAATGGGGTCCATAGAAATAAAAAAACAACATATTTTAACCCTTTCCCCCCCTAAGAAAAAAAAACAACAAAAAAACAACAAGATAAAAAACTAAACTAAACTTTGGTCAAGATTTTGGTTGAAAAAGAAAATATAGTTATAAAAGTATGCCCTTTTTTAAATAAACCTAGTATCACTTTCATAGACAAATATTATATCACATTGCCTAACACATTAGTAGTACACATATACATCTTCTGATAGACTTTTTTAACTTTCTAGTAGGTACTTTTTAACAGATTTTTTGTATTGCACAAAATTATTAATGGATTTTATATACTCTGGCAGATCATTCCAGTCTTTAATTCCATTATAATAAAAGGTCTGTTTCATCACAGAATTACACTGGGGGACAATAAAATTAAAATTGCTTGATCTAGTGTTGTAAAATCTTGCATCAGCACAACATCTAAAGTCGGCTCTAAGGTATGATGGACTCTTTTTGTAAAAAATCTTATACATATGATTGAGTCTTAACTGTTTGACTCTGTTTTCTACATTTAACCAATTAAATTTTTTCAAACTCATACACTGTTACAGAAGTTCTGGGCGTTAAGTTTTGGACAAATCTTAATACCTTATTCTGAGTAATTTGTAACTTTCTTTTCAAATGTTTTGATAAACCTTCATACCAAGAGGAACAAGAGTAGTCAAAATGACACTGAATCAGGGCTGAACATAAAAGCTGTTTTGTTTTTAGTATCTAAAAGTCTGCTCTGCCTGTATAAAAATTTGAGCTTGGCATTCACTTTAGAAATAATGTTATTAACAATAGTTTCCCCAGATAAATCACTATTGATATATAGACCAAGATACTTGACTAAATTAGTACCCTTTATGCTATGACCATTACATGTAACAGTAAATTGTTCTTGCTTTTGTAATTTTCTTTTGGGGCCAAACAGCATACATTCTGTCTTACCAAGGTGGAGTGACAGCTTTATTGTCTACAAGCCATTCTGAACAGCTTTCTAGGGCTGTCCCAAGTTTTTTCTGATATGAAATTCGGGTCTTTATGTGAGAATAAAATAGTGCTGTCATCTGCATACAGTATTAACTTGCAATCATTATCAATACTTAAAATCATATCATTTACGTAGCACAGAAAAAGCAACGGCCCTAGAATACTACCTTGGGGGACGCCACAGGTCACACTGTTTGATTTAGAGTAAGTATTTCCTATATTAACAATTTGTGAACGTTCTGAAAGATATGATCTGAACCAGGAAATAGACTGAACACCCATTAATTCTAACTTTCCACTAAGAATATCATGGTCTACGGTGTCAAACGCCTTTTGCAAGTCAAGCATCACCATACCTGTGTATAACCCTTTACTAGTATTAATTCTTATAACATCTTGTAAGTGAATAAGACAGCTATCTGTAGAATAACACCTTCTAAAACCAGACTGGTGTTCATACAGTAAATTATTGGAAACCAAAAATGTTTCAAGTTGAACATAAGCCGCTTTCTCTAAAATTTTTGAAACTACACTTAAAATACTGACAGGCCTATAATTACCAACTTCTAGAACACTATTCTTCTTGTAAAGTGGTTTTACTCTAGCCAACTTCATTTCATCAGGTACTTTACCTTCAGAAAAAGATTGATTAACAATGTAAGTAATTGGTATTTTCAAAACACTAGAACCATCCTTCAAAAATCGGGCAGGAATACCATCTAATCCTGTGCTTTTACTAACATTTAAGTTGCATAGTTCCTTAAAAACAAAATTTTCAGATACATGTTGTAGATTTAAAATATTACTATCAGGATTTCTTTTACTATAAAAATTGAAAAGCTTTTCAGACCCTAAATCATACATTTTTTACTTGAAGGTAATTTCTCAACAAGTTTAGAAGCAACACTTGTAAAAAAATCGTTAAAATAATTTGAAACAGTATCAGCGTCATGGCAGTTTTCCCCATTAATTGATAATACAATATTTTGAAGATTTCTTCTTGTCATTTTTATATCCCAAAGTCTTTAAGTTTTGCCAGAGTTTGCTAGGATTAAATTTGTTTTCCTCTATTTTGTTAGTAAAATATTCCGACTTAGCAGTCTTTATATCTCTTTGAATTTGATTCCTTAACTTACAAAAAATCTTATAATCCTCTCTTTCACCATACTTTTTGTATGTATATAAATACGAGTCTCTTTGTTTGATACTATCTAGTATTTCGGAGTTAATCCAAGGCTCTGACTGGTTACGTAGTCTTACTTCCTTTACTGGGGCCACAGAGTCTAAAACACTAGTAAACACATTTTTAAAAGAAATCCATGCAGTATTAACATCAGTAGAGTAAAAACAAGTACTCCAGTCAGCATTTGTTAATCTGGAAATAAAATCTGTTTTATCATAATTTTTTATGGTAGATAAAAACGGGCTTATGTTATTTAGGTAATAATCACGCCAAAAGTTTCTTTTATTCATATGTTTTACAATATGGTGGGGTGAATCCGGGAACCGCCTTTAGAAACGTCATTTTTCGTCAAAAATGTAACTTCTTACAAATCTCACGGGAGGGTCGTTAAAAATGTCAGAGATGAGAAACATAAGACCATATCTAGGACTCGGCCCGGTGAATTTTCGTACTACATGTATTTGTTCTATAGTAAATCAGTCACATTTGAGGCTTAATTCTGGATTCCACTGCTCTTGATGAATTATATACATGTACTGACTTAAACTTTAAATATTAATACTATCTAAGTCCAATGAGACCCAAAATATAATAGGCTAGCCATTTACTTTTTTTCAGAAATCTTCATTCTGTTGTAACACTGTTTCAATTCACCACTTTAAAAACTCCTGACTGCTGGTTGGTAGTACATCTGTAATCCTTCCGCCAACAAATGAGTTCCTGCATAATACACAAAAAACAACTTTTAAAGTCATCATATAACACAAAAAACTACACACATGCAATAAATACACTTTAATTATGACCAATCTAACTTGAGATGACTTAAATTGGGCCACTTCGGGTTCGGTCTAATTCCGTACCGGGTTGAGACCTTTAGTGGAGAACATTTTCTGTTGCACTGTCAATATTTCATTGCATCGATACAATCTTGATTGAACGAATTATTTCTATATTAATAACATTTACAGTTCGCCAATGAAATCGCTCTATTTTGTTTAAATTGTGTCGAAATATTTTACCATACAGTGCTGAAACTCAACTGTAAATTTATACGTTAAATGAGCCGATTTAATGGACTCCGATATTTACATAATGTACTCGATTTGAATGGACGGGGCTAATTGTAAGTCGGTTATAAGTTATATGCAGAAATTTAAGAAACTAATTTTTTCTCGCTAATTTCCTCGCTTCACTTCATTAATCGCTCGAAAATTAATTTCTTAAAACTCTGTATATAACTTAAAACCTATACTTATAAATCAATTTAAGGCTTTTAAATAATTTCCATATTGCCACTCGAATGTTTACGATGTTTTTACATATTTTTTCGTGTGAGGAAATAAATAATAGGCGACCTCTTATGATTGGGATTTAAAATCTTAAGTCTCAGATCCAAATTTACGTTACTGTCGCTCATAGTTTTACTGACATTTCATCCAAAATATCATACAGTTAATTGTCGGCAAAATCAGGAAATGATAATGTTTTCAGTCATTTTCACATTCTTAAACATTAGTCGCCAAAAGAACTATATTTTCGATACTTTCTGATACAATGTAAGTTTGGTTTACAAGTCTTAAATCCAACAGAAACCAAGTGGAAAAAGTGAAATGTGCCTTTACTATTTGTGTCATCTGGAAGTGATTCTTTTTAAGACTGACAAGTGACATAACAATCAAAGACTGATAATAATTGGTTAGGTGGGATAAACTTCTTGTTGCAGATTTGAAATGAAATTCTGTTATTTTACTTGAATTCTTGCATCGCATATCTTGCTTTTGTAAAGTTCTCCCCAAAATCGGTTTGCATACTACACATTTTGTATCACCAGCAATATGCAGATATCCCAACACATCTGCACCACTTTCATTTTATTAGAATGATGTTTCTTGATAAATATTTGTACATCATGTACTTTGCGAAATATCCAGTAGTATTTTTCCTTTCACTACCAGAGACGTGCACTTACCTGTCTCTGCACTACTAACTGTAGTTTCTGAAAAATTACAAAGGAAATACATTTAAAAAGAGCACTGAATGCGGCGTTAACGGTCATATGCAAAGGCAACCACTAGCTATCAATAAAAAAATAAATAAATATTACAACTTTAAAAGGGGCATAACTTTCAAAAGTGCATGCATTGTTTTCAAGATAATTCCCATTGTTTTACTTTTTTGCCTTGGAAAGAATAATCAAAGAATTCAAGTTGATAGCTTTTATAGTTTTTAAACGGACCGACATTAGCAAAACAATATACCCGCTCTTCTTCGAAGGGGGGGGGGGCATAATATATATATAGTGAGAGGTAAAATGTCTATATAAAACTTGTTTAAAATGGG